CCATGTCCCACCAGATTCCATGGCTTCACCGTGGTCTCCTTCTTGGCTTGGGCCATGTCCCACGTGTGTCCTGGCCATCCTGCAGACCCCACATCCCACACATGGGCCAGGCCATGTCCCACGTGTCCTGGCCATGCCGTGTCCCACCACATGCCATGGCTGCACCATGGTCTCCTTCCTGGCCCAGGCCATGTCCCACGCGTGTCTCGGCCATCCTGCAGATCCCACGTCCCACACATGGGCCAGGCTGTGTCCCACGTGTGTCCTGGCCAGGCCATGTCCCACCCACAAGCCATGGTTGCACCGTGGTCTCCTTCATGGCTTGGGGCACGTCCCACGTGTGTCCTGGCCATCCTGCAGACCCCACGTCCCACGTATGTGCCGGGCCGTGTCCCACGTATGTCCTGGCCACACCATGTCCCACCAGATTCCATGGCTTCACCGTGGTCTCCTTCTTGGCTTGGGCCATGTCCCACATGTGTCCTGGCCATCCTGCAGACCCCACATCCCACACATGGGCCAGGCCATGTCCTACACGTGTCCTGGCCATGCCGTGTCCCACCACATGCCATGGCTGCACCATGGTCTCCTTCCTGGCCCAGGCCATGTCCCACGCGTGTCTCGGCCATCCTGCAGATCCCACGTCCCACACATGGGCCAGGCTGGGTCCCACGTGTGTCCTGGCCAGGCCCTGTCCCACCACATGCCATGGCTGCACCATGGTCTCCTTCACGGGCTGGGCCATGTCCCACGCGTGTCCTGGCCATCCTGCAGATCCCACGTCCCACACATGTCCTGGCCAGGCCATGTCCCACCACATGACATGGTTGCACCGTGGTCTCCTTCACAGGCTGGACCATGTCCTACCACATGCCATGGCTGCACTGTGGTCTCCTTCATGGGCCAGGTCATATCCCATGCATGTCCTGGCCATGCCGTGTCCCACCACATGCCATGGCTGTACCATGATCTCTTTCACGGGCCAGGCTGTGTCCCACACGTGTCCTGGCCAAATCCCACACACGCCATGGCCAAGCTGCAGTCCCCCACGTCCCACAGCATAGGTCCTGGCCATGCCATGTCCCACCACACCGTGGTATCCCAACCCCCCCCCACGTGGGCCACGCAGCCTCGTGGCCAGGTGTCCCACGTGTCCCTCCTGCCTGCCATAGGATCACCACCATCCGCCTGGGCAAGCACAGCCTCTACACGCGGGAGTGGGGGGAGGCGCAGAAGATGGTGCAGAAGTTGGTGGCCCACCCTGACTACGACCCCACCACCAAGGACAACGACATCATGCTGATAAAGCTCCTGACACCCGTCACCCTCACCAGCAGGATCCAGCCCATCCCCGTGGCCTCCTGCCTCCCTGAGCCCGGCACGACCTGCACAACCTCAGGATGGGGGGCCACCAGCTCCCCAGAAGGTACCCAGTACCCGTGGCTTCTTCTGGATGTCTGGGTTCCCTCCCAGAGGTCTGGGTCCCCTCCTGGAGGTCTGGGTCCCCTTCTGGAGGTCTGAGTCCCCTCCTGGAGGTCTTGGTCCCCTCCCGGAGGTCTTGGTCCTCCCCTGGAGGTCTAGGTCCTCTCCCGGAGGTCTGGGTCTCCTCCCAGAGGTCTGGGTCCTCCCCTGAAGGTCTGGGTCTCCTCCTGGAGGTCTGAGTCCCCTCTTGGAGGTCTGCGTCCTCTTCTGGAGGTCTGGGTCCTCCCCTGGAGGTCTAAGTCCCCTCCTGGAGGTCTGAGTCCTTCCTTGGAGGTCTGGGTCCCCTCCTGGACACCTGGATCCCCTCCCACATGCCTGGGTCTTCTCCTGAACACCCAAGTCTCCTCCTGGGCACTGGTGTCCTCTCAGAAGTGCTTGGATCTTCTCTCATGTGTCTGGGTGGTCTCTTGGACATCTGGGTCCTCTCCTGGAGGTCTGGGGTTCCCCCCTGGACATCTGGGTCATCTCCTCAGCACCTTGGTCCTCTCATGAGTGCCTGAGCCTTCTCCTGGATGCCTGGGTCCTCTCCTGGAGGTCTGGGTTTCCCCCTTGGACATCTGGGTCCTCTCCTTGGTACCTTGGTCCTCCCCTGAGCGTCTGGGTCCTCTCCTGGCCATCTGGATCCCCTTTCAGATGCCTGGGTCTTCTCCTGAACACCCAGGTCCTCTTCTGGGCACTGGTTTCCTCTCCTCGGCATCTGGGTCCCCTCAAGGACATCTGGGTCCCCTCCCACATGCCTGGGTCTTCTCCTGAGCACCTGCACCCTCTCCTGGGCATCTGGGTCCCCTCAAGGACATTTTGGGTCCTTTCCTGGACACCTGGATCCCTTCCCAGATGCCTGGGTCTTCTCCTGGACATCTGGGTCCCTTCTCACATGCCTGGGTCCTCTCCTGGGCACCTGGGTCCCCTCAAGGACACCTGGATCCCCTCCCACATGCCTGGGTCTTCTGAACACCCAAAGTCTCCTCCTGGGTGCCTGGGTCTTCTCCTTGGCATCTGGGTCCCCTCAAGGACATTCTGGGTCCCCTCCCACATGCCTGGGTCCTCTCCTGGGCACCTGGGTCCCCTCAAGGACATCTGGGTCCTCTCCTGGACACCTGGATCCCCTCCCAGATGTCTGGGTCTTCTCCTGGGCACCTGGGCCCTCTCTTGGGCACCTGGATCCCCTCAGGGACATTCTGGGTCCCCTCAAGGACATTCTGGATCCTCTCCTGGACACCTGGATCCCCTCCCAGATGTCTGGGTCTTCTCCTGGGCATTCTCCAAATCTCTTGGGCACCTGGATCCCCTCAGGGACATTCTGGGTCCCCTCAAGGACATTCTGGATCCTCTCCTGGACACCTGGATCCCCTCCCAGATGTCTGGGTCTTCTCCTGGGCACCTGGGGGTGGATTTTTTTGGGGTGGTGGTGGTGAACTTCTGCCGGTTGCTGGGTCGATCGCTCTGGTTTCTTTCTTCTCCCCCCGCTCCCGTCTCAGTCTCTTACCCGGACGTCTTGCAGTGCGTCAACGTCACCCTCTTCTCCACCGCCGAGTGCGACCGGTTGTACCCCGGTTCATTAACCGAGAACATGCTCTGCGCCGGAAGTCTCCAAGGCGGTAGGGACTCCTGCCAGGTACGGCCAAAATGTCCTCCTCTACCACCGGGGGTGGTCTCCAAGGTGGATCCTGGGGAGAGGAGGGGACACATCCCCTTCTCATCACAATAGGGTCTTCCTTGGTTGGGCCACTCAATGAGGGGTGGCCATCCCAGTGATGCTCTTCAGCCAGTTGGCCAACTCAAGTAGACTTGGCCAACTCAAGTAGACTTGGCCAACTTGGCAATGGCTGGAAAGCCCAAAGAGATTTGGGCAACCCCCTGGGGTGGTTGCCCAATCCAATGATGTTCTTCAGCCAGTTGGGCAACTCAAGTAGACTTGGCCAACACAGTGATGCTCTTCAACCCAACAAGGGTTGGCCGTCTCAAGTAGACTTGGCCAACTCAAGTAGACTTGGACAACCCAGTGATGGTCTTCAGCCAGTTGGCCGACTCAAGTAGACTTGGCCAACACAGTGATGCTCTTCAACCCAACAAGGGTTGGCCGTCTCAAGTAGACTTGGCCAACTCAAGTAGACTGGGCCAACCCAGTGATGGTCTTCAGCCAGCTGGCCGACTCAAGTAGACTTGGCCAGCTCAAGTAGACTTGGCCAACTCAGCAATGGCTGGAAAGCCCAAAGAGATTTGGACAACCCACTGGGGAGGTTGGCCAACCCAACGGTGGTTAAAGAAGCCACCAAGCCTTAGGTGACCCAATGGGAGTTGGGTGACCCAACGCAATGATGGTGGAAGACCTCAAGCGTTGGAGAGCCCAATGTCAAGTCATAGTCATAGCTTATCGACCCCCTCCCCTCCCCCAAAAAGTTGACCAAGCCAATGGGAGGTGAGCAATCCCACGGCAGTTGGCCAACTCAATGATGGCTGGCCAACCCACCAGAAAGATCACCCCAACCCAACGAGTTCTACCAAGGATGGGTCAAACTGAAGAGTGTTGACCAACCCAATGAGGGTTCACTCTACGTCTTTCCATAGGGTGACTCCGGAGGCCCCCTGGTTTGCAACAGGACCCTCCAAGGTATTGTCTCCTGGGGCATGGAGAAGTGTGGGCAACCCAAGAGACCTGGTGTCTACACCAAGGTCTGTAGATACGCCCAATGGATCCAGAAGACCATGAAGGAGAACTAAGGGAGAAGTCCACCAACCTCCAAAGGACCATGGAATGAGGTCGGAGAAGCTGCGTGCCAGGGCAGGATGTTGGGTCAACTGAAGCTGCGGCGAGGTTGTGGGGAGAACCAGGGTGACCTGGGTGAAGGTGGGGAGATGGGGGGT